ATATATGCTTGTTCTTTTGAGTGTGCCGTTAAACTACATAAGATGAAAACTTAAGCCAAAATAATTCATTAACTGACAAAAGAAAATTATTTCTAACCTGATGGTCAGAAAGTGAAAGCTGGTCCTCTGGAAAACCTGTTTGCGACAGGAGATGGGTTTTGAATATGGAGTTGTGGTTCACTAAAGTTACTTCTCCAGCATCCATTCTCATCCCATCAGCAATATCATCTGGAGAAAGAGTCCGGATTAGTTCAAGTCACATAATGCTTTAATAAGTACTTTATTATACATCAGTCTTTTCACTTAATAAATGTAATTTCCAGCCCTGGCCGGGTGGCCTCAGTTGGTTGAAGCATCAGTCCATAAACCAAAAGGTTACAGGTTCAATCCCCATTTGGGGCAATTACAAGAGGCAATTGATTGATTTTTATCTCTCACATTGATGTTTCTCTTTCTCTCCCTCCTTTTCTCTTTCTCTAAAAATCAATAAAAACATGTCCTCGGGTAAGGATGATAACAATAATAATTCCCAAAGACCAGCCATGTAATAAGACCTCTCCTTCATAAATAACCATTGGCAAGAAATCTCAAAACTGTCAAGAGTTAAATGCAAAATTTTAAAATAATGACATTTCCCCAAAATAAATTTTTGAATGTTTTAACTGTAGGAAAAATTTTAATATAATAAGAATGGAGCAAAATTTCACAATTCAAAAAACAAACACTAATTAACAGTGGTTTATTTCTTCTGTTTTAATTCAAAAAAATTAATCGACCTAAAAATGTTCTGCCAAAAACATTTATTCATATGGCTCTTAACAGACATCAGCTCAATCACTGTAATATTATGGCAGAATCTTACTTTACAACCATTTTTTGAGAACTTTGTTACTCTCTTATAAAAGAGTAGAATAGAAACAAATAATAAAGGAACTCAATTACGTATAATATCAGCAATGAGAAAAAAGGGAAACAAATGACAAGAATGTACACAAAGCAAAAGGGAAAAACAGAAACAAGAGAGAAGACCAATGTGAATTTAAAAGGAGCAGATAGAATGTTTTAAGATCTAACTGTATAGATTTTCAGCCTACTCTTTTTAAAAAAATTTATTGATTTTAGAGCGACAAGTGGGCGGGGGGCCACTTATTTATGCATTCACTAGTTGATTACTGTATGTGCCCTAACCATGGATCAAACCCACAACCTTAGTGTATCGGGATGATGCTTTAAATCAGAGGTGGGAAACGTCCAGCCCTTGGGCCCTATAAGGCCCCTGGAATCACTTGGTCTGGTTCTGCCAAGGCATGAGGAGTGAGTTAATTCAATGTTTGACCAAATATAGCTGACTAATTTTTAAGTTGATAATTCTGTATGTCCCGAGAATGTTATAAATATCCAAATGGCCCTTGGCAGAAAAAAGGTCCCCCACCCCTGCTCTACTAGTAAATGATGCTCTAACCAACTGAGCTACCCAGCCAGGGCTCTCAATCTATTCTTAATTTGGCTACTAGTCTTGACCTTATATTGACCCCCCTTTTACAGACATAAAGTACCTTGAATAGTGGAAAATGTTCCAGTCACAACTGTCAGTGCCACTAGCTAAATAAAACTTAAAATTTACCTTAATCAAATTATTTATCATATAGAAGGAAATATAACAGTACTAAAGGGCAAGGACTCTGGAACCAGGCTGCCTGAGTTTAAATCCTGGCTCTCCCAGTTATAGTTGTGTGACCCTAGGCAAGTTTCTTAAGCTCTGTGTGTAAGTTTCCTTGTCGATATAATGGGGATAACAGTGCCTATTTTGTAGGTACCATAGGTACCCTTGTAAGATGATTGTAAATTAAATAAATACATTTTAAGTAATTAGAACAGGGCCTCGCACATAGTAAATGTCTGCTGGTGTGTATTATTTGGCTTTTTCAATACAATGAATGAGAAAATGCTTCCCAACAATCCTATAGACCAAGTCTCAACTAAAAGAAAAGTGTTTGGTATACTGTATTACATAATTAGTATGAGATCTCCCTTAAAATTATTAAGCACAAAAATGCAAATATTAAAAATGTTAAGGAAACCCATTCTTCCAATTCAGCTTAACTAATCAGAGTAACTACAACTAGAAGAACTGAATGATCACTTCATAATCAGTCTTACCCATGTCAGGTCTTTTCACATCACTGACTTCAGCAGAAATACAAAGTCCTGTAAAAGAAGGCAGAAAACAGAAAGGTTATACACTGCAATATCTCCTTCATTTAATTATAAAACAGGAAACCACTCAGAAGTGAAATTTGTGTTTTTAGTGGAGAAAAATATAAGGTGATAAGGAGAGTTGAGTTGATGGGAAGAAAATGCGAACTATAACTAGCCTGAGGTCTTTCCAAACATTTCTACAATCTGTGCTATACTAAACAGCAAGTATGGACTACCCACAGAATCACAGAATATTACATCAAGAAGCAAGTTAGGAGAGCCAACCCTTTGGACATTCATTTGCATTTGGTCATAAAGTTGACTAGTGACTACACTGAAATTCCCAACCCATTGCTCTTGCTATTATCTCATGCTAAACTATTTCATAAACAAGTGATAGATCTTGTGGTGGTCCTATTAAGACTTGTCTTCCATACACGTCTTATTCAGTAGCCAAACATAAAGCTACTGATATTCTGAGGACAGTCAAGGAATGTCCCAGTAGTACTAAATACTTTCTCCCCATAGTTATTCAAACTGCTAGAATTCAAAGCTCTTTTGCTTGTATGAAATTACTTTCTCCTCTGGTGGATCTAATTTTCCCAGAAAAGGAAGTTAAAAGCCTAACTGCTTGGGACTAGGTTAATAAACATACCCTCGGCACACATACTTCTTGGCAGATTTCCAAGAGAAGACTAGGCATGATAGTCACACTTACATTACTCATACTCCTATCACCATTATTTTAAAAAAGATTGAATACTTCATCAACTACAGAGTGGTAACAGGTATTCGCTATGATCACAACAAAGTGCACACACAAAGAAAGGCTGCTTCAGCAAACAAGACATCAAAGAATTTGAGAGATTATGTCCAGAGAGGTTAAGTGACTTGCCTAAAATCACACAGATGGAGCAAAGGGAAAGCAAAAACCCAGGTATCCTGACTTAAAAGCAAATGTGATTTTCAACAAACATCACAAAACTTCTCATCCTTTAACATATCCTCAATTCAAGGAGTCATACACTTTAGCAAGATAAAAGCAAACCCTAGCTAATTCTAGGGAATCTATGCTGTTTTATGATTTTAATAATTAAAGCCCTAAATTTACATTTTCATACAAATATATCCAGCTTCTTCAGTGTGCTTATGGTACTTTCATTTTGCCACTTTGCAGTAGCATTGGGAGAAGGGACATTTAACCCAAGATTCAACATGAAATGCTGGATCTGGAACCTTTGGTGCCACCAAAATTCTTATAAGCATAAACATTTTTTCCTTTTTAGAAAAGTATTCTAATAACTCATTTCCTAGTTCACATTGGTCATTTATTTTACTGAAAGAACATAAATAGTTACAGATATTCATGTGAAGTCAATTTAGTAACTGAACAGAAGATAAGGGGAAATCTGAAAGATAAAAATGGCAAAGTCCTGACAGGAGCAGAATGTAACAAGTATGACAAAACATTTATGTGCTTACATACATGCAAAGAGGTGATTATAAGAGAATGTTTAGAGCTATGAAGTTACTAGAAAGTATATACGGTAGGAACCACTGTACAATTAGCGTTAGCCAGGGCCAAGATGTGGTTAGAACCATTTATGATATGAAAAGGGTGTGGAAGTAATCATGTGAATCACCCTACTTTGTGCTCTGGAAAACTCTGTATATGATACAGTTTGTACTATATCATCATGTTTTTGTTTTTGGTATTTTTACATGTATCCTCTCCCAATTAAACTCTAACACCTTATACACTAAGAAACTTCTTGCACACACACACACACATTTACTGTGCACCAATTGCACACACACAAGATACTGAGGATAAGAAGAATAAGAACTGGTCCCTGCTGCTGAGAAGAGCACTGTCTACTGGGGGAAGTAAGATCCATAAATGGATATTTACAGCAAGACAATAAAGCTAATGCAATTGGTAGATGTGGGAGTCAGGTAAAGGAAAGGCTTGCAAAGCAGTAGTTAAGAGTTACATCATCTTAGCCTGAAGTAGCAGAACCTGTTTTTTAATTCATTTGCTCCTCTAGATTTAACTCATCAGATGGGTGATATGAAGACCATATTAATTGTAATCAGATAAAAATGAATGAAGTTTCCAAAATGGAACTAAAGCCCTAGCCGGTTGGGATAATTAATTGTAATCAGGTAAAAAATGAATGAGGTTTCCAAACTGGAACTAGAGCCCTGTTCAGCTCACTGGATAGAGCTTCGGCCTTCGGACAGAAGGGTCCCGGGTTGATTCCGGTCAAGGGCAGGTACCTTGGTTGCAGGCTCCTCCCCTGCGGGGGCCCAGGTCAGGGTGTGTGCAGGAGGCAACCAATCGATGGGTTTCTCTCACATGGATGTCTTCCCCTCTCTCTTCCACTCTCTCTAAAAGATCAATGGAAAAATATCCAGAGATGAAGATTAACAACAACAACAACAAAAAAAGATGAATTCTTTAAATATACACACACGCAAAAAAAAGAAAATGGCACTGGAGGGGGGCGGGTAAGGAAGAAAATCTCTAAATTGGAAGAAAGTGAAGGAATCATGCTTAAAGAGATGCTTAAAGTTTCACTGTAAATGTAATTTCCAATTTAGTGTAATTTACCTTTCAATAGGCGTCCTTAACACAAATTATCTTTATAAAGAGTAAAGGTCCGGCCTATTCCATCCACAATACCCAATTAGAACAAGAAGCCCAAGTCAAATGGTTGGTGGGCTACAGAGGGTTTTACAGACGTTTTGTAAGAATCACCATCACCCCGATTATAGTCAGCGTAGCAAACGCGAAGTGCCTTTAACAAGGCTGAGTGGAGAGCGATAAAGGAGCAAGTTACTGCCAACAAGATAGTGCCGATGCTGCAGAGGCGGCGATAACCAGAAATCACCAAGCTCGGGAGGAGCTGGGCGCACAGCCAGAGAGACCACGGCAGGGGGCACCGGGAGAGGCGGTTCGGCGAATTACCGGGAGGCGATGAGCCAGGTAAGCAAACCGCGGCGGGTAGGGGGGTTCATGGCCGGGGCAGGAGGGTCCGGACGTTTCTTTCCGGCGGTGGCACTAGCGACCTCACATCTCGGGGAGATACCACAGAGTAAACGAGTGGGAGAAATGGTTACGGGAGACGCAGAAGCAGTCGAGAAATACCAGTCAGGTCTCAAGGAAGGCGGGAGAGGAAGCAGGTGGGGAAAAAAAGAAAAGAAAAGCTGATCTTCCCGGCGATAACAGCTTTCCCGTGAGATGACCCGGCTCTGGCGGGAAAGCCCCGAAATCCCAACCGGCCTGTTTCCCCACAAGGAGAGCTGGGCGCCGAGACGGGGGCTGCCGGAAGGGCGGGGAGACCGCCTCCCCACCGCCCAAGGGGAAAAGGCCTGAAGGAACGGCTCCCGGAGCCTAACGGCCGCCGGCCGGGTCGCCGGTGGACAGCTCCGGGGAGGGGAGGTGGTCCCAGGGGGCGGGGCAGAGGGAAGAGCGCCGTCCCCACAGCCGTCCTCGCTTCCGCCCAGCCCAGCCCAGGTTGCGGGGCCCGGAGCAGCACAACTTCCCGGCCCAGGCTCCCTCCATCCTCCCCCTCCCCCAGCTTCCCGCCGCCACTCACCGAACCGGAACCGGCTGCTAAACGAAGGGGTTTCCGGTCGGGCGCGGAACGTAAAACCCGGGAACGGCCGCGAACCGGAACCGCCTCCCCAACACCGGAAGAGCTGTTCGGTGGCTGAGGAGGAAGGGGGTTGGGGCGGGAGGTCAAAGAACACAGTGAAGTACCCGCGGAACGCCTGCGCAGTGTGACGAGGGTCAGTAACCTAGGAAGCATCTGAGGCTGCAGTCACAATTTCTCTGATCTTTCAGTTTGGGCTTTTTCTTGTTCCCGGAATACTGTTCGTGTGCCTTCCGTCCTTCGCTTTTCTCTGTTCCCCCGACCCCCTCACCCGCCGTCTTCTGGTTCCGGTGGGCGATTATTGCTTACAGCTCCAGTTTCCATGGCAGCCTTCTCCTGGCCTTTCATCTGCTGGAACCTGTTGCCACCTTGGCAGATGCAGACCTGAGAGCTCAATCAAGCTCAGGCTATATTGTGTTTTGAGAATCACAGAACGTTAGTGATTGTAGAGGATTTTGGAGATAGTTTAACAGTTTCAGAAAAGTGAAATATTTTCCCAAAGTTATAAAGTGTATAGCAGATCTGGGATTAGGAAATAAGTTTCTTAACTTGCAGACCGGTACTCTGCACCACATCATGCTTGATTGGCCATTAGGGAAAAGAAAAAAAATGGGGGAAGGGGAGGGGAAGAGAGCTTCGTATTGGCATAGGTTAGATTCTAAACATGTAAAAACGCCCAGAACTCTTGAGGAGTTTGAAACGGGGGTGTAGGTGTGAGGAAAGCTATTGGGGATCCACCAGAGATCTACTTTTCTAAATAAAGAGAGGAAAGGACCAAAGGGTCTGCCCTCTGAGGAACTAAATGGCCCTGGTGGTGTTCCTGTGACTGAATTGATTAACCTGTAATCTGTGCCATACTTTTTTTTTCTTTAGATAAAATATTATAGGTTTATTTAAATGTGTCATACTTTTTAAGAGAAAATAATGGAGAGAAATATGTTTGTTCATTCAGCTTTTGGGGCCTGCCTAGAAACCTAGCAGAAATGCTCCTAAGTAGGTACTCTAGACCCAAATGATAGCCACAGTCTGAGCTCAGACTTGAAGAATGGAAGCCGCTGGAGGCCCCCAGCCTCTTAGCTACTCTTAGCAGCTGGGAAAGGAGTGCTTGCTGAGTTCAGGGGATCTTGCTCTGTCATGTGTATAAAAGTAGATTTTTCGTATCACTTTGTAGGTTGAAGTTTAGACTGTCAGGTCATAAGTCCTGTTAGCAGTGAACATACCTGGTCTGTGTCACTTTTGTTCATCTTACTCATCTCACAAATCTGTTCATTTGGATTAAACTCTCTCTATTTCTAGGAGTCAGCCATGCATAAAGAGGAACTGCATCTGAAATTTTTCATGTGCGTGATTCAATCTCGCCAATTAGTCAGGACTCCTCAGAGAACAGGTACCTTTGTCTCTTGAATGGAGGCTCAATACAGGTTGTGAGACTTACTAATAGTGTAAATGCAGGCTTTAGGGGTCAACTGACATTTATTCCATGATAAAATATTTGTCACTCAGTCGTTTTATTTCCTGGTACAAGTATCAGGTGAGATTTTGGCCTGATACGTGCAGATAAGCCCTAGGCAGATGAGGACGACTTGGGAATGAGATTTATAGTACATGAGCTAGTAGTTGATTTCTTGTCCTTTGTGAATTATTTTAATCTTTCTGGGCTCATCTATGGGGGTCCTTGTTCCCATTGTAATTGATACTCCGAAAGTTGTAAAATAAGGAGTCCCAAAGAAAACTGACTTTCTCTTCTACCCCAGTCTCAAAGAATCTAGTTACGTTTTCTGCTTTCTCCCATTTGTATCAAAGGAGTAGAACCTTTTTGAGATAAGATAGTTGTTGAGAAGAGTCGTTACTTTTCTAACTTTTTGCTGGATTTATGGAAAGAGGGCCTGAGAGGCATAGAGAGAATAAAAGTGAATAAGGAGCATTGCCTTCCCTGAATCTCACCATGAGGGTGACTTAAACATGTTGTTTCTCAGCTGAGGAAGCTTCAACTTCCAGCATGCTCATACAAAAGGAAGGTGAGGAAGCTTCAACTTCCAGCATGCTCATACAAAAGGAAGGTGAGGAAGCTTCAACTTCCAGCATGCTCATACAAAAGGAAGGTGAGGAAGCTTCAACTTCCAGCATGCTCATACAAAAGGAAAGTGAGGAAGCTTCAACTTCCAGCATGCTCATACAAAAGCCACCACCTGAGGCAGACGGTTCGAAGAATCTAGATACTGTGGATGATCCAGACACCATGGAAGGCATACCTATTTTCGCAAATGGTGAGGCGTGTGGTTAAACAGGGGGAGGAATGTGGAAAGGAGTATTGGAAAGTGAAAAATTTATACATAGCATTATAATTTAGGATAGAACTACCAAATTTGAATTATGAGTTAAAACACAAGGGGGGGGGGAGAGGTAAATACATAGATACCATCTTGGGAACTTTAGAAAGAGGGACAATTCTCTCAGAATAATTGCTTGATTTAGTCAATAGTTAAGTAGATTGGTGCCCTTATAATTGTAAGCTACCAATCTGGTTTATCCTATTATCAGCAACCTTGGCACATAAAAATGTGAACTTTAAAAATGGATTAGATTAAGGAGTTATTATATTGCAAAGTAATTCCAAATATTGTAAAAAATATTCACCTTAGGAACCATTTAATAACAAATTTCTCTTGTATGTTTTACATAGTGTTCATTTCATAAGCAATTTATATGAAACTTCAGAAACACATCTTTGTTTCTTCTCAACTTAAATATGTCTATATTGGAGTCAGTTCACTGCAAACACTTATTGAGTTCCCACTATGTACCCAGTAATATACTAAAAATGATAGAGAGGATATATATATATATAGTCTGGTGCACGAATTCATGACCAGTGGGGTCCCTCGGCCTGGCCTGCAGGATCAGGCCGAAACCAGCTCTCCGGCATCGCCCGAGGGGTGCCGGATTGCGAGAGGACGCAGGCCAGGCTGAGGGACACCACTGGTGCACAATTCGGGCCAGGGAGGGATGCGGGAGGTTGGCCAGCTGGGGAGAGACTGCAGGACGGCTCTGGGGCGTGTCCAGACCTTCTCGCTCAGTACACATTGGCCAGACCCCAGCAGCAAGCTAACCTACCAGTTGGAGTATCTGCCCCCTGGTGGTCAGTGCATGTCATAGCGAGCAGTTGAGCGGCCTTAGCATATCATTAGTATATTACACTTTGATTGGTTGAACAGATGACCAGATGACTGGACACTTATCATATTAGGCTTTTATTATATAGGATATACAGTGGGGCCTTGACTTACGAGTGTCCCGACTAACGAGTTTTTTGAGATATGAGCCGTCTCTCGGCCGAATTTTTGCTTTGAGTTGCGAGCTAAAATTCAGGTTACGAGCCAGCTTCAGATACCCCACCGCTAGTTGGCGCAGCGAACGTCACAGTGAACGCCACAACATCAGCCCAGCATCACGTGTCTCACTCATTCACTGTTGATTTGACATACGAGTAATTTGAGTTACGAGCTCCGTCACGGAACGAATTAAACTCGTAAGTCAAGGCCCCACTGTATATGACATAACCTTACCATTGTCCCAATAGTTTGTATTTTGGAAATGCCTTAGAGCAGTGGTCAGCAAACTGTGGCTCGCGAGCCACATGCGGCTCTTTCTCCCCTTGAGTGTGGCTCTTCCACAAAATACCGACTTCTGCGCATGGGCCACGAAGTTTCAATCGCACTGTACATGCGCGCCTGCACGTGGTATTTTGTGGAAGAGCCACACTCAAGGGGCCAAAGAGCCTCATGTGGCTCGCGAGCCACAGTTTGCCGACCTCTGCCTTAGAGTGTATTTACTCCAACTCTTTATATTTTCAGAAGGAATTCAGATCTACAAAGGTTTTCCTCAAGAAGTTAAATTCATTGGAGTAATTACTCCCAGCACCTGTGAAAAATGTAGTACTATTTATTAACTAATCTTTTTGAGCATTTACTATTTGAAGTCATTGTAGTAGACTCAGCAGGAGATGAGAAAATGATCTGGAGACTCCCTGTCCTCCAAGAGCTGCAGGTTAAGGAGGGAAATAATAGAAGTCAATGTTAAATTAAGAGCTTGATTACTTTGGTTCAAAAAGTTGAATTTCAAAAGAGATGTCATAGTTGCCAGGAAGCAAAATCTCAACAAATTGAGAAAATGCTCTGGAGAATGGCAATTTTACAGTTTATTTTATACATTAGAATCAAAGTAGGAGCCGTAAGGGGGTTTACATGAAATTTACTGGAGAAAGCAAAGTGGGGAAATCTCTGAGATTGGATAAAGAGTAAAATGGAGAGACACATCTTTTACATTGGTG